ATTGAAAGAATAAATATTGATGTGGGACTCCACTCGTGGCATCCTGGCTCACGGGAATGCTGGAGGACCCCTGATTTCCCCATCACTTTAATCTATACTTTGTCTCTGTCTCCTTTATTTCCAATCTCTTGTGACGTTCCTGTCTGGGACCCAATTTGTTGGAAGAGTCGTGAACTCCCAGCAGTCTTCAAACTTTTAAAGGTCACTATGACCCTGTCATTCTAGTGATAGCAGCCATCCTTACTATGATTATAAACTTAAATAATTATGCTGATTAGAATTTGCATACTTCACTCCTTCTTATACCTCATTTCAGTCACACATATTTACTTTTACCTAAAGTAAAACTAAAATTTACTGCTGCTACTTAAAATTTTTCCTAACTACCTGATAGGCATCCTCCCTCACAATTCCCTGAGCCCTTGGGCCAAATACAGACTTTGCCTTAGTGCCTAATTTTTTTCCATATGTTCTTTTTTAAGTGTCTTTCAATATTTTACCAACAATATTTGTACATCAGCAATATTAAAAAGGACAAGAAGTCTCTTCTTATGGTGATGAAATATCAGATGTCTCCTTTCTTATACAAAATCATTATTACATGTTTTAGATTATTTGCTTTCTCCCTTTTTATTGCTGGAAGGAATGATAAGTTTAGTGCAATGATTTTCAAACTATGTTCAGGGGTGCCTCAAGGTCCTTCTTGGAAGAAAATGGGTGAAGGGGTACCAAATAGAAGGAACTCTAAGCCTAATTCATCCAGCACACCATCAATTTTTGTTTTCAACTTTTTATTCTGAAATAATTTTAAACTCACAGAAAAGTTTTAAGTGCAGTATAAAGAACTCTTGCATGTGTTTAACCAAGATTGTTAATATTTTGCTACAATTGCTTTACCATTCTTTTCTACCCTTCCCCCTCCTCTCTTCTCTCTTCTTTCTCTTTCATATTATATATAACTTTTCTCTATGAATTGTTTGAGAGTAAGTTGCAGATATGTGTTGCATTACTTCTAAATACTTCAGTGTGCACATCCTAAGAACAAAGAAATTCACTTATTAAAGTATAATAATCAAAACCAAGAAATTTAACATTGACATAATGCTATTATCTAATCTAATATATAGAACCTATTTAACTCTTGCCAATTATCCCAAAAATGTCCTTCATAGCAATTTTTGCTTGATCCAGAATCAACCTTTCCTTGTCTTTGACAACACTGACCTTTGTAAATAGAATATGCAATTTCCTTTGTAAAAGTCCCTCAGTTTGGGTTTGTCTAATATTTCCTCATAATTAGATTTAGGTTATGTATTTTTGACAGTAATACTATATAAATTATGTTGTGTTCTTCTCAGTGTATCACATCAGGAAGAATGTGATATTGATTTGTCCAATTATTGGCAATGTTACTTTGATTACTTCGTAGTTACCGTGATGTCTACTAGATCAAGCCACTGTAAAGTTCTTTGTAATCCAAAACTGTTTTATCCTTTCTCATTAAAATAATTTATGGAGAGATACTTTTTAAGACTTTGTAAATATCCCAGGTCCTCATCAAATTCCCACTCACTGGTTTTAGCATCTACTGATGATTTTTGTCTGATAGTTATGATGGTTGCAAAATGGTGATTTTCTAAAATTATCATTCCTCCTACATTTATTAGTTGACATCCTACTCCCTTATTTAAGTGTGGACTCTTCGATCTTTTTAATGGATTAAAATCTATTACTCTCATTATTTTTAAACTAAAATTGTCCCAGATTTGGCCAGTGGGAGCCCCTTTGATCTGACTCCCAAGGTTTCCTGATATGTCACATCATAATTGGAGCTGTAATGTCACTTTTGTTTTATATTTTGTGATTTATTTCCAAGCAATTCTTTAAAAAGTTTGAAACCCATTATTCTGCTATAACATTGTTTTCCCAATTCACCTCATTTCACAAGTCAGGTTTATACAAATAGCACCTAGAAAATAGAGAAGACAATAAATGATAGCAACCCCTGTGTCTCTGTGGCCACACTGGCCACCATGCTATCCCTCCAAACTACCAGGTATGTTCCTGTATTAGCAGCTTGCATCCACCATCCTCCCCCACTTGCCTGGAACCTTCCTCTCAATGTACCTGTAGGGCTCACTCTCCTATTTCCTTCAAGTCATAGCTCAAACATCCTCTTCTCAGGGAGGCCTTATCTGACTATTATAGTAGAACAATGTTTTTCAAACTTTTTAAGCCATTGTTTGAAAACTCCTTTCATGATAATCTTTTCATTCCCAAAGTTTCATTCCAAAGCAAGATATTACATGACAATGGGTTTAACTCATGAATGGTTAAGTCAGAAACATAACATTAACCCCTACTGGATTATTTTCCTGGTAGTAGATTGGCAAACTCCCTAAAGTACATAAAGGTGTACACATAGTCCTTCTGGGTCATGGGAACAAAGTCGATGCTACCCACTCTATTGCTTCAGACCTCTTTATTCAATCCTATTGCCAACCGCAATACATCCACTTTTGTATCGCTTTGTTATAGAATTAATCTAATGAGTAAATCTGTTTGTATCGATAAATAAGGCATCAAACAAAAGCATCACTAAGCAAGGATTCAGTAGAATTATTTGTCTTTTCCTATGGAATATTTGCTAAAAGAAAACCTTTTTTAAAAGTAACACTCACCATTTGCTTTTCCCAAGTCTTTTGAAAAACAAACAAACAAAAAACCCTCAAGAAATAATCACAGATAATAACCGACATCAAAGAGATAGCCACAGGCTTTACAAGCCGTCAAGTGCTTTCACTGAAACATTCAGCACAGAAACTCACTTTCCCTGAGCACATCCCCTCAATATACAATTCAATGTGACTGCCTGTCATCCATTAGGGTTAAAGGTGTCCTCACGAAAATATATAGCAAGTTCCATGACTTCCTGCGCTTGCCAAAAACAAACTCAGTAGGTTGTTACCACATACCCTCGGTTTCTTAGAAGAGTCTTAAGTTTTCAAGCTACTTAAGAAATCTTTTTCTAAAACCACTAACATACTTCACACCTTAAAAAGTATATTATTTCCAACAGCTATATTAAGGGCACATAAAGTGGCTGACTTTTCCCATAAATGTCTGTTTTTCATTAAATTAGTTAACAGAAATCTTTTAGGTTTTTGAGATACTTCTGCACTGCAGAGCCAATGCATTTGTCAACATGGTAACTAAGTAAATGTTCACAAGCCACAAAATGATGAGGCACCTCATTATATAAAATAATGGAACAAACTCTATCAACATGTAATTTATTCCCCAAGGGTAAATGATGTACATTAACTATGCTTTAAATCTCCCAGCTACATAGCCCACTTAGTGAAATCCCTGAGTAGTTTACCAATAATATACCCTATAGGCCTAAATCACCTTCCAAGATGACTATTTCCGGCACTGAAAGATCTAGCTGACTTTAAATGAAATTCATGATCTCCTCAAAAATAAAAATATTAAAAAAATCTATAAATCCAGTGGCTACTTTTTTCATTATATTAGTTATCCTTAATATTCAATTGTTTAAGATAAAAATATACCACAGTATTTAATCTTCTAACCTAGAAAAAACTATATTCATTACATATGATGAACTATAACTTCTTGTTCTTAAGATCTAGACCTGCACCATCCAATACAGTACCAAATAGCCACATGCAGCTATTGAGCATTTGAAATGTGTCTAGTCCAAACTGAGACATGCCATGAATGTAAAAGACACACCCCAAATTTCAAAGATTTAGTACCAAAAAAAATGTAAAATACCTCACTAATAATTCTATGTTGAAACAATATTTTTATATACTTGGTTAAATAAAATATATTATTAAAATTAAGTTTACCTGTTTCTTTTTAGTTTTTTAATGTGGCTACTAGAAATTTTTAAATTATATATGGCTCATACCTGTGGCTTGCATTTTATTCCTATTAGAGAGGGCTGGTCTAGACTAAGGTGGGCAAAGTCACAGTTATAAGGCCAGTTCCATAGTATGTCATAAATATCCTGCCACCACACTACTTTCTTGTTTTTTGAGGTTGTTAGCAGATCATCAAACCTCATGAACAACAGAAGACTAAGCCTAGGTGAATTCAGTTTGTGATGAATAAAATAATAAATCTTATACATGTTAATGACATCATAGTGGTTAATCAGACAACACAATAACCACTTGCTATAACTATCTTATAAATTAAAGCCAAATTATATAAATTTTATAGTAAATAGCCAAAGGATATAAATTTTATTTATTATTTCTATAAACACTGTACTAAATATTCTTTAAAACATTTTACCGTCTACTGAATATCTTTATTTAGATATCATGAGCATTTCAAATTCAATATGTCCAAAACTGAAATCATCTTGCTGTTGGAAGACAGTTGTCCATGATGCTTCTATGTGTCTCAGACTAGAGATAGTATATTCATCCGGGTTAGAGAGTGCATTTGTTTCTTGACCAGGATAACATAAAGCTAGTATCATCCTCCAGGACAACGGTTGGGCAAAACTGTGTACACAGCATCTATCTGGGCCTCACTCTGTATCACAGGATTTGGAGAATCTATACAAACATGAAGATCATGCTACTTACTTTGCTCTGAGTAACCAACTATCTAAATCTGTCTTGGCTCATTGTTTCCTTATCACAGGAATGGACAGAAGTGTGGTTAGCCAGCCTAGCAGCTGGCTGCTGCTTAGAACTGCTTGACATTCACTTCCCCTTTTACATTCTCAATCTTTGTACAAGCACCACTACATATCCCGTTGCCCAAGTCAGAAACCCTACCCTCAGTCTTGAGTCTTGCCTCTCATTTACCATCATATCTCGTCAGTCAGCAAGTCCTATTTATTCTATCCTCTTAATTTCTCTCAAATCATCTACTTATCTCTATTCCCACTGCCTTTACTCTAGTTCAGGTCATTATACTCTCTCCCCTAGAAGCCTAATTTGTGTCACTGCCACCTACTTCACTCCATTCTTCACATTGCAGCTGGGATGATCTTATTTGTCATTTCTTTGACCTCAGCTAAAGCGCAAACTTCTTAGGATGACAAAGTATTTCAAGGTCAGGACATATACAGAATGTTTCTTGAAATCCACTTGTGATTATTTTGCCTGAGGGGGAGAGGAAGGGAAAGAGGAAACAAGAGATTAGTCCCACTTCTAACATAAAAGCCTTGGTACCAAAGGACGAGTTGGGTGTTATGGCCTGGAAAGAGCACTCTCAGAGACCTGGACCTTAGGGGAATTGCCATCGTTTCTTTCTTCCTTACGCATATGAAGAGGTGATGATTACTATGTGAGGTGATGGATATGTGAATTCCCTTGATTGTCGTAATTTCTTGATGTAAATGCATATCAAAGCATCTCATTGTACAATTTAAATATATATAAGATTTTTATTTGTCAATCACACCTCAACAAACTAAGAAAAAAAATATTTGAGTCCAAATAAATTCAATGACTTCCTCTGTTAGAATTGACAACCAAAAAGGGGCCTAACATAGCCAAGAAGGGTCATCATTACTTTATCCGCTGCCAGCCATATTTATCCTGATGAAAAGAATGTTCAAGCCTTCTTGACTAGATTTTTGAATGGGTGATTAGCATCATTTCTTTTCCTTTTGCTTCGTGGCACCCAATATAGAGGCTTATTTTCTTTAAAAATGCCTGATGTTAAGCATGCTTAACCCAGTTGAATTATGTAAATGGGCTCGGGAAAATTCAGATGAGCTTCCAACCTCATTTCTCATCCACAATGTTTGGATGGACAGGTTTTCCTGGCTTTTTGTCTGAGTGAGCTCCTCTTCTTCATTATTTAGCTCAGACGTTATCTCCTCCAGGAAGCCTCCTCCAACTCCCAAAGTAGGATTAGATATCTTTCCTATGTGTTCCTTTAGCATTTAATGCTTACTCTTGTTTTAGCATTTAATACACAATATTAAAACTATCTATATATTTGCTTACCTTCCCAAAAGTGGTAACCTCCTGAAAGACAGTATGTCCAACTCATTATTGTAGCCCCAATAGTAACTTCATGCCAAGCACATAGTAGATACCCAATAAATATTCATTATAAAAAATAAATCATCAGATCGGTCCTTGGAAAATGAGAAAGTGAATTATAATCTATAAAAAAGGGGAGGAGAAGAAAGATTTGAGTTATGGAGCTTTTCTTATCTCTACCACAATTCTCTCTCTCTCTCTCTCTCTCTCTCTCACACACACACACACATACACACAATAAAGGTTAATTTGATGTAGCAACTTGACTGGGCCATGGGGTGCCCAGATATTTGATTAAGCATTGTTTCTATGTGTGTGTGTGAGTGCGTTTCTGGATGAGATTAACATTTGAATCAGTAGACTGAGTAAAGCAGATTGGTCTCCTCAATGTGGATGAGTTTCGTGCACTCCATTGTTCTTAATAGAATAAAAGGCTGAGTAAGAAAGAATTCTTTCTCTCTGCCTGACTATCTTCAAGCTAAAACACTGGTCTTCTCCTGCCTTCGGACTCCAACTCAGATTACAGCTTATACTATCAGCTCTCCTGATTCTCAGGCCTTTAGGCTTGGACTGAAACTACACCATCAGCTCTCCTGTGTCTAGATTTCTCAGATTCTACAATCATGTGAGCCAATTCTTTATAATAAATCTCTCACTCACTCACTTTTTACAAATATTATATTTATATGTGTATGTGTGTATGTGTAAAATATATATGTGTGTGTGTGTATATATATGTGTGTATATATATATATATTCAGAACCAATCCTATTGGTTCTGTTTCTCTAAAGGACCCTGATTAATACACATACTAACATGCCATATCACTGATGTTTTCTCTAATTTCAATAGCCCTCTCACTCCCAGATTTGCATTTTCAGGGCTACCAGAAGCTTTCATGAGGAAAGAGAAAATGTATTTTTTTCCAAAAGACTTGTTCATGTAAGGCAAATTTGAATGCAATCTCTACATAAATCAAAGTTTCTTTCTAGGCCAGAAGCACTAAGATGGTAAAGATAGGATGACAACTGAACTGGACAACTTCTTCATTTACTTTTTAGAATCAAAGGTCTTCATCTTTGCCCACTATACTCTTCAAAGACCTGAAGTATTTCTGGCTTCTGGCTCTCAATTTGGGGAAAAGAAACTTAGAATTCTGGTAAGCTTTCTTCCAAGACTTTACCTAGAGCAAGCAACATAGCCCCTCAAAAAAGCCAAAGAAGAGAGACCTTTAAGGCAACTGGTGCATCAGGGCAAATTTCAAAAATTCCTGTAATCCAAGCAGTGCAAATAGCTGAGAGAAACTCTAGTGCCACTAGTTGGTCACTAGTTGGTTACCCTCCATTTGAATTGTGAGAGTGTTCCTTGGCCACTATCTGAACCATCAGTTTTGAATGATTTCAGGAAGATCACTGTAACTCAGCTTTACATTTTAAAACCTGGTTCTTTTAGAATATAGAAAACAAAGTTCTTAAACTCAGAGCATTTTCCTTCAGAGTAAGAATATCATCACCTTTGGAGATAAATCTGTGTTCCAGTGATGACTCTGCAATTTGCTACATGACCTTGGAGTAATAATTTAAAGCCTCATGATCATTTCTGAAGGATAGCATTGAAAAAAAAAGAGCTTCATGAGCCATAGCTTCCTCTTTGTTGCAAGAATTAATTAAATAAAAAAGCCTTGTGCTTATAACATTATGCAGTGTACTGTAGATGCTCAACAAAAGGTAACTATAATTTTTGTAAGTTTTTTTTATAACAGGTACTAGCAAATTATAATCTACCCATCACCTGTTTTTGTAAGTAAAGTTTTACTGGAACACAGCCACACTTATTTGTTTATGCATTGTCTCTGACTACTTCTGTGCTGCAATGAGAGAGCTGAGTAACAGAAAGAGTAATGACAGAGTTATAATATAACAGGGACCATATGACCCACAAAACCTAAAATATTTACTATCTGGCCCTTTGTAGAAAAGGTCTTCTGACCCTTACTTATAACACAAATTTCACTGCAACTTCTAAAATAATATGATCTCATTTTAGACCATTTAATAAACCCAATTAGCATTCCAGCCTTTCTGTTCATGGGGTCCAAAATCACCCGACAAGATAGAACAAAATTGTTTTAATAGTGTGTAAAAACTGAGAGAAATTTTAATAGTCTTTAGTGTACTCAAAATTTTGTCATGAAATGCACAAAAAGACAATGGCTGGTCTCATGGCTCTTCCTCCTCGTCTAGTCTCAACTGTGACTAGATATAGCTGGAAAAGTCTGACAAGGATGGGGATGCGAAAGAGTATGCAAAATCCAACTCTGTAACTACTGGTTAGCTTAAGTATAGTACTTGCATAGCTCTATTCTGGGCTTAATGAAAAAAGACAAGAGGGCAGGAAGTCAGATTTACTAGTCAGGATTCTCCAGAAAAACAGAACCAATAGGAGATAGATATGATTTATCATAAAAAATTGGTTCACATGATTATAGAGGATGACAAGTCCCAAGATCTATAGTTGGCCAGCTGGGCCCCAGGAGACTTGATGATATAGTTCCAATCCAAGTCCAAAGGCTGCAAACCAGGAGGGCCAATGATGTAAGTTCCAGTCCAAAAGCCAGCAGGCCTGAGACCCAAGAAGAACCTATGTTTCAGTTTGAGTCCCAACACAGGGAAAGACTAATGTTATAGCTCAAACAGGCAGGCAAAGGAGTTTTCTCTTACTCAGCTTTTTTGTTCTGTTTAGGTCTTAATCGATTGGCTGAAGCCCACCCATTAAGGAGGGCAATTTGCTTAACTAAGTCTACCAATGCAAATGTTAATCTCATCCAGAAATACTTTCACAGAGACACCCAGAATTAAGTCTGACCAAATGTCTGGGCACCCTGTGGCACAATCAAGTTGACACATAAAGTTAATAATCACAACAGATAGATAGATGCAAATCAAACTTTCTATCAAGTGCAAAATTTAGGATACTCACACATACAAGTAATATTCTATAAAGATTTCTTATTCCTACTGTATAGATGAATAAAAAAATTAGGGTTTTTTAAATTATTTATATAAAATATCTAAGAAAGCAATTCTACAAACTAAAAAACTAGAATTCAATGTTAGAATCAGCACCTCCTAAAGTTACAAATACAAATATATAAATAAATTAATATATATTCAGAAGATAAAATTTATCCAAGGCTTCTTGAAAAGAACAGGTTATATGCTAGATCACATACTTTTCTTGAAGGCATCATAAAGAAAACAATATCAAAAACTTTCATTAGCACAAATAGAATTTATAAGTACCAATATATTCTTCTTTTCTCAACTAACACTCTAAACATTTCATACAACTCTAAGGCCTAGATGTAGATACAATGTAGATCATCTTACTTTACTCCTTCTTTACTCGAAAAACCCAGTACAAAATGTGTCTTAATCTTGTAAAATGCCAATACCAGACCATTTATTAATAATATGCTCTTAATGTTCACCTTCTAACATTTTTTACTAAACCTAATATTTCCTCACCTTTGAACACTTTAGAGATAACAGTAAGGTACTATGATTATAGAAACTACTTGTCTATAGACAATTTACTGTAAATATTACTACTTTATTTTTAAAATTCTCTTGTAAACTTCTCACTTTATAAAAGGCAAAGAGCAAGTGTCTTTACAGGATTACAACACTTTCTGCTCTATTGCTTCGAATCCAGCAGAATAAACACAAGTTAAGAAATTCTATTTCCAGAATCCTGTTCACATCACTGATTATTGTTTTGTATAAATAAGGAAATACCTATTAAAGCTGTGTACTAAGACCAAATATCAAATAGTTGGAGTGGAAGGTACCTAACGGAAACAATAACTTTTTTAAAATCCTTTGCCTTATCTCTGTTTATTATCAAAAAGGAATAAAAGATAAAATATCATGTCTATATTTCTGAGACACTAGTGTTTCAACTTGGAATTTCAGTAGATAGTTCTGATAGACTATTAGGAAGGGTTGTGGGTAGACGTTAGTCACTTCAGAAAACTTGCTTTATAGCATGTTGAGATTTGTTAAGCAACTTCTAAATACAAATGTTCATTTTCTAACTCTTTTCTGGCATTTTAAGTTAGGAATCGATGAGGATCATAAACATCTTGAACTTTTTAATATGTGAATTTAGTAAAATCCATAACATATTTGGTCAAAGCTCATCTTATTTCTCAAATTTTATACACAGGCATATTTCAAAAGCAATTTATTTCATGTGTTTCTAATTCATTTGAACTTTTCTTATCAAAAGTTTATTTTGTGAGAGTTAGTTTTTGTCCAAGGTGCCTTATGGGTATTAGTTTTATAATAGTTTGAAATGCTCTTATTTTGAAGAGAGAAAGTTACTCTGGAAACTTGTACCTCAAAATTACTAATTTGGTTCAAATGGAGTCTACATTCAGCAAAATATTTCCATACTCTCAATTATCCTGTCTTTAACATTTCTTATAACTCTCTAGGACCAAATACAGCTACAGCGTAACTAAATAACATATGGCACCATCACATAGGCTGCATTTCCAAAACTCTATTCTGTAGAACACAAGTGTCTCAAGGGAGGTTAAGAGGTGCTTGTGAGCAGAAAGTGGTTAGGAGTATTAGTCAAGTAAGTATGAAAAATGCTGAGTTAAAATCAAACAGATTTCTTTACTGCAAGAATTCTGAGAACTTTTACATACATAATGGATACTCAAGAGAGATAGGAAGTGGTGTTTCTCAAATTTATTCAACAATGAAACTCTTTTAACAAATCTCTTAACTTGTAGGATATTGATATTCTATTAAAAACAATTTGAAAATCTGATTTATATGGTCTCAAACACTAAGGAAGACATTGTGTTTATTATTATCCACCTGTTGTTGTCGATGCAATAATCTAGCAAACATTTTCAAAAGAGATGATAGTCTAGGTATTTTTAAAATATTCCTAGTTAAGGAAGAATTATTAATAATCCTGTTAGGAAGAAGTGGGAAATCTGAGTTTTAATTAGTATAATGACAATAACCTGGCAACCATATTGAAAGGACTAAGTCTAATTCACAAGGGTTTTTAGAGGAATGTTTTTGAAGAAAACTGACAGCTATTGAATTCTTGGTGAATTAAAAGTACACCGTATAGTCAGTTCTTGATTTATGACTACAACATATTTTAATT